TCGTGCTCGGCCTTCTGCGCGGCCTCGGACGCCATGGCGCGGGCGCGCGCGGCCCCAGAGCGCGCCCAGGCGCCGCGGCGGGCCCGCCCGACAGAGGGTGCACGTCGACCTGTGCCATGACGGTTCACTGGGCGCGCGGCGCACGAGCTCAAGTGGGGTCGGACGAGCGGGGGTGCGGCAAAAGGGGTTTGGCGGATCGGCTCACGTTGCTGGTTTTCCTGGCGCCCCCCGGCGCCGGGAGGCGCCAATGTACCCCTACCCCGTTGTGGTTGACACGATCAGAAAGCATCCAGTCGCGACCAAAGACGGGGGTCGCCACAACCTCCATCCCAGGAGCGGACTGGCGCGAGCACGCTGGAGCACACACGGCACAGCGAGCCAAGGGGCGGAGGGCACACGAGGGTGCCCCTGATGTTGCAGGGTCGGCCTGCTCCATGGGTCGCGGGTGCAGCGCGAGCACGAGCAGGCCGCTGAAAGCAGCACAAGCGGGACCGCCACAGTAGAAAGGCGGCACGAGTGAAGCCATAGAAGGGGCGGAGTGATTTGTGCTATTATGGCTAGCCGCTCCAAAACTCCAAACTTCGACAAAATCAAAGCAGATGTTTGTTTGCTACTTGGGCCTCTGGGGGGCCGTTTCCAGACCCTGGGACAATATAATGATGAACTGAGCCCGCTGGGAGGTCGGTAGCTCTGGGGCCACGTCGTGAAAAGATCGCAACGTCGAAGGCCTGAGGATGCCAGGGTCCAGCTGCGCAGCGGCGGCAAAGCAAAGCCCTCTCATCCATTCCCCATGCGTCACATGCCTCCCATTGGAGACCTGGCCACCCAGACACTTTTTCGAAGTGGCGCGGGGTCCGTAGCTGTGTTGGTTCAAAGAAGCAATACAATTCAAGGCAGCCAGCTGGGGTAGCAGTCCGAGAACGAACCAGATCCAGCACAGGTTTTTGCAACCCTCCGTCCCTCTACCCTCTCCGATCGCCATCTCCCTCAATGTGTTTCAGCAGCCTCCTGTATGTTCCGTCCTCGTTCTGAACCCGCAGCGCCGTGCGCCACCGCCCTCCTCACGCAGATCGTGGCGACACCTCCAGGAGAGGGGTCGGCCTGGAAACCAGGCAAAGTGTTGGGGGTGCGTAGGGGGGCACGGCCAGCGAGTGCCCAGCGGAGGAAAAACAGGATCCCGAGTGCAAGCGCTGTGGGTGACGAGGTCGCGGATGACCTGCGAGGCAGCCCAGAGGCGGCGCAAGCTGGACCCGCCCGTCGGGGACGCCCAAACAGGGCGGAGTAGCCCACGAGGAGCGCAGGCGGGGCGACGGGAAGGGGCAGGAACAGAGTGACAAGGCAGGCGGGGCGCAAAGGGGCGCCCAGGCACGGGCGGGGGCAGCGCCCGCGCGTGCAGGGGCGGGCAGGCCAGACGCCAGGCAGGAAAGGGTGGGGCGGAGGGCGCAGGCAGCGCCGAGCGGGGGAGGGCCGCCGCCCAGAGCGGAGGAAGCGGACAGAGCAGCCCGGCAACAAAAACCTGCAGAAGGCCGACGCTACGCAGCAGCGGGCGAACCCGGCGGCGGCGAGGGGCGGCGGGGCAACCGCCTCCGCCCCAGGCGGCAGGAGCGGGGCCGGGGCGCGCGGCGGGCAGCCCGTGCCGGGGGGGATGGCCGAGGAGGCGGCCAGACGCAGGGCAGCCGCGGGCCAGGGGCCGAGGGCGGGCGGCAAGACCAGCCCACACTCGGCCAGGAGTGTCGAGACGAAGCGGGCGCGCCCCAAGCGCGGGATGGCGCGTGCAAGGCGAGAAGATTCAGGGGAACTCAGTAGACGCACGGCAGCAAGGAGACGGATGGGAACGGCAGCGGCCGACCGACCCAAATGGGCACGTGGCAGGGGCGGGCAGCCCCGCTGAGGCGCCGAGCCAGCGCGCCCAGGGCGGCCAGGAGGCACGAAGCGCCAACGCGTAAAAAGCGCCCATTGACGGGTGGTGTCCGAGGGCGGCGGCGCCGGCCATGCCGCGCAGCGGGGGTGCGCCCTGAGCGGCGCCGCCCGCTGCGGACCGTGCGACATCGAGGCTGTCGGCCAGGCCCTGTCCGAAGTTGCGTGCATGGCGATCGGCAATCCCCACCTCGTCCTAGATGATGACAGAACGGCCCAGGCAGTGTCTGTAGCCATTGACAGAGAGGTGTGTGCGTGTGTGTACCCGCGGGATTTTCGAGTCTCAAGCTGAGCAGTATGGCACCGAACGCAAAGCTCTCAGATGCATGAAATGTGCGTTCTCATGTTGTCCTATGGTGCTCCACATGTTCATGGCGAAGCTTGATATGTCCACTCTTGTCGGCGATGTTATGTCCAAGAAGGGGAAGGCTGTCTGCGCTATCTTCACTATTCGGTACGATGAGACGCCCTTGTTTGTGATTATCCCCGAGGCTGCAGCCGACGCTCTACTTCCGACGGAATTCGAGCACTTGCGGGACATCTTGAAACATGATACTTCTTTCTGGCATGTCAGTTCATCCCGAGATAAGGCACCTACCAAGTTGCTCCAGGTTGAATGTTGCATCACGTCGTTGGTGCAGGTCGACAAGCAGTTCACGGCCTTCACGTTCGATGTCCCCCTTCCGATTTTGAGGGTTTGGCGCTGCGCACCAGAATGGTATTTCCTCGCCTGCGAGTTCGCGTTGCAGTTGGTCGGGTGGGAAGGCACACCGAGGCTGTGCACTAGAGCGCACAGGGTGAGCTGCACGGACGGCGATGGGGCCATTGGCCGCGCCGAGCGCGTTGTGCAGATATCGCTGGGCACGCCTTCGCTGCGTCTCCTTTGCTTCGCCCACAAGGGCGCGACTGTTCGGGTGCGCGCTGCCGTTCCAGAGAAGTCTGCCCACATTTACATGTCGCAGGCAGTGCTGGCCCTGCGGTTCGGCAATCACCGCAAAGTATTTCGGGCTGCCGCCCGTCTCGTCATTGCGCAGCGCTTGAAGATCATTTACAGCGCGCTGTCCATGGAGGCGCGGTCGAGGAACGCGAGGAAGCTCGACGCGGTGCTCCCGAACACCCACGAGAATGGGCCGCTGCGGGCGCTCGCGCTGACCACGCGTGGCGGGGGCTGGGATGACGAGGAGGTCGTGGAGACGTTCGTTCCGCCAGGGGCGCAGCGCGAGGTGGGCGACGAACGCTGGCCGCCGACGCCGCGCGTGGCCAGGCCGACCCCGAACCCGAGATTGGCGCCTGACCCCCTGCACAGGTGGCGGGGCACGGCGCGCGGCGAGAGGGGAGGGGAAGCGCGCGAGAGATGGTCTAGGGAAGGGGGGGGGATGGGGGAGGGGCGCGCGCGTGTGCCAATCTTAGGCGTTGGGTCGGCCTGGCCAGGCGCGGCGATGATGTTCGGCTTTCGTTGTCTGCTGTCTGGTCATGGCGAGACTCCTCTTCAGGTTCGTCAGCGCCGTCGCGCACCGCATGTTGCGCAATTACCCCGGCAGCGGTTAGACGCGTTGGGAGACAGGGCTGTCTTGGATTGGACTCTTTGCGAACGCGCACGGCCTCTTCGTTCCGACCTACATACAGGCTCTTCTGCCAGCTACTTCAAGATAAGGCTGGTCCAAGCGGGAATGTTCGAGTCGCGCATGTAGCGGCGCCCGGTGCTGACGGCGGTGGGCCTCTGCCTGCAATAGCTGATGACGTCGGCGCGGGCGACGGCGGCGGCGCTGACCCTGGCGCCGGCGCAGGACGTCATGCAGGCGATGGTGACGAGGCCGATGCACGCGCTGCTACAGGAGGCGCTGGCGGCGCGGTCGCAGGCCTCGGGGGCGCACGCGACGCGCCTGCCCCGAGCGTGCCCGACGCCATCCCAGGTGCAGCAGCTGCACGCGCCTTGAAGCCCACCACGGGATGGACCTCAAGGCGCGCGCACTCCGCGCACTTCCCGCGGGTTGGACGCGTCGGCACGCGCGGGGCGGGGGCGTAGTCAGCGCCCACTGCTGCAGGGGGGCTCGACGGTCAGGGCATCTGGGAGGCCCGCCGACAGGAGCAGAGTAAGTATCAAGAGTCGGTCTGGGCATGGTGCGATAGTGGCCTCGTGTTGCAGTATTGCGTAAACTTGTGCCGAGTTGCTTAGATCCACGCGTCGTACATTTACGGTTTCTTGGGCCTGGTCAGCGTCAGTCGGGAGCAATCGCAGCGGCGCGTGGATCTGGATAGATCGATGGAGGTTGGCCCTCAACGTCGCGCCCCTCGGACATACCAGTTGGAGGCAGCCTACCTTGCTAGCGAAAAGCGGGCCGTCATCGAGTCTCGCCGCGCCCCGATCATGGATGGCGCTGCTTTCGACGGCCTCCCCTTCAGAGATTGCACCCGCGCGTACCAGACGATGGTGTTCCAGATGCGTGCTCGCAGTGCCTGTCGCTTTCATAGTCTTGTTGACAAGCTCAGCAACTACCCCTACAAGTTGTTCGGAACCCTTTCCAACGGCGCCCTTGCGTCGGAGATCGCAGACGACATGAAGTGCGCCAAGCGCGTGGACGCGTTCTCGCGACACTTCACTGGCTGTCATGGTGGCGCGCACGCAGTCGAGGCACGCGTGGAGTTGATGACGATTGTCTTGAAAGCCCGTCGTGACCAGGTGCCGATCGAGAAGAATCATGGGGTTTGTCGTCGCTTCGTTCTTGGATGGTCGACCCAGGGGAGGGCCATCGACCTGCACGGCATGAGTGCCGAGTGGATCTCCAAGGGCGTTCAGACGCAGGCTTCTGCACTGTGGCGGCAGGTGTTCAATGAGAAACCGTCCGATGCAGCTGTTGACGAAGGGGGCGATGAGGACCGAGGAGACACCGATGGAGGCGCCGCGAGGAAGTGGAGGCTGTCCGAGTAGAGCGTCTTCTGCAGCGAGCAGAAGCGCGGGGAGTCCCTTGCAGACATGCCGACGCTCGCGCACCTGAGCACCAGGCACGCTGACTTGTCTCCTGACAAGTTCGCTGCTTTGACGAGGCGGGCTGCAGAGGCGAATCTTGCTGTCGACCATGGCTCGGCGGCGCCGTTGGGGCCTCGGCGCAGGCGGGCTGCTCTTCCCGATGTGGGTGCTGCCCCTGACGCCGACGCTGGCGTCGTCGCAGTCGGCGGCTGCTCAGCCCTCGATTGGGGCGGCCTCATGGCCGCGAGCAGGTTTCGGAGATAGGAAGCGCAGAGCGCGAGGGCCGCGGAGAAGGAGGAGCTGGAGCGCCCAAGGCTTACGACGTGCACGTTTCGGGCTGCCCAGTGGATCGCGCCTCCTCCTCCTCCCCCGACGCCCGCCCCATGTACGGACCATGTGGCAGGGTCATCAGTTCATCGTTGTCGCTGTCGTCGTGGTCCTCGTCGTCGTCGTCGTCGTCCATTTGGGTCGGCGGCACCAGCAGCAAGGCTCTCACAATACTCAACAACTTCCCTGACCCAAGCCACTCGATTGATGATGTTCCTGGGTTGCGTACCGTCGATCGTTTCTGGATGGGCTGGTGAGGATACTCTGTTTCTGGTACGCGGGCTCGAGAAGCAAGTCGAATGCCGTGCAGGACGGGCAGGCTACGCGCCGACGAAAGGAAAAACAGCGAGCAGGCTGGTGAGGATACTCGAAGGACTCAGAACTTGCTCAACGAGGAGCGAAGAGATCAACAGGGCAAACAAGAAAGCGAGATTGACGTGGCGAGCAGGAACAACAACGTCGAGAGGGCACATCCGAGGACAGGTGTTTTGGAGAACGGTCGCCGCAGAGGAGTGCGGCCGAGCAACTGAATAACCCGTCTGTGGCAAAACGAAGTCTTCGGCTGAACCAGGGCCGTGGACGCAATGACGCGATGAGAGCAGCGGCAGCGACTCTGGCTTGTGCACACCAAATACCGTGCGGATACATGTGTAATCATAAGGGTGTGAACCCATACAATGAAGCTCTCTCCGTTAATACAAGGGAACCCAAGCACGGCAACGCATGCGAAAACACACACACACACACACACACACACACACGCACACACAGAGACACACACACACAGACACGCACACACACACACACACACACACACACACACACACACACACACACACACACACACACACACATACACACACACGCACACACGCAAACACTTACACACGCACAGACACACAAGCATGGCTAACGCTGTTCATAAATCTCGAATCGCCCGTTTCTGTACGGTACGCAATCCCTACATAAAAAAACACGTATGTGCAGGTAGTGCGAATCGGAATCACAAGCGTAGAAGCCCGTTCACATACACACATGGAACGTCAAACAATATTAAAAAGGCTGTGCGAGCGCTCTCGGCACGAGCACTGCCAATTCAAAAACGATCACGCTACTCCAAATCCGCCACCGTGCCTTCAGCACGTACAGGAGTGCCCCAAGGTTTCATACATATGTGAGTGTTAGAAGAGCTGTCCTGTAGGATTCTTGAAGGCCCGATCACAAGTTTGCTAGAATTCTGGGGTCCTCTTGGTGTGTCTCGCGTTGGCCTCGGGGATGCCAAGCCCGACTCCACCATCCCTCAAGAGCCTTCCAAGAAACGCTCAAGAAGGCTGAGGAACATTCGATGGCGCCTGCGGGCCTCTTGGGCCGTTTCGGATGCCCTGGGAGCTGGCCCCCGAGGCCAAACTCGCTAAAGCACATGAGTGCTTGAATGATGTTCGCATACGTGGTTTCTCTTTCTTTAGAGCGTCCACGACGGCCCGAGAGGCACCCAAGACCCGCCCAGAAGGGCTCCCAAGGCCCGCGAGGGGCCCAGGAAGCTCCCCAGAGGCCTCCAAAAAGGGCCCAAGGCACAGCGGCGGGATGAGCCGCTGGTGACTCGTAGTTGTCAGGAAGCCGCCATTGATGGCCGCCAGGCGCAGAGCTACTTCTTCTCCTCACCAGCCTGCGGGTGTCTGCGGGGGGGGGGGCCTGCATGACAGCCCATTTCACACTGCTGCCGTTGCGCAATGTCTATAACTGGAAGCATACACTTCGTCATTTTCTCCGACTCCTGCCTGTACAACCCGAGTCCTCTCCCCCCGAGAGGTTGAGAGCGGAAGTGGTGTGCTGTGAAACGACGAACGGTCAGGATACGATGATGCAGATAGCGCACCGACATGGCATTAAAAGGCGCAGTCCGCGATGCCCCTGGACCCGAGGAAACAGCCCTGGGCAAGACCTGCACTGCCTGAGTAGCACGTCGTGAAGCATGACATGAATGTCCTCACGGTAAGATACCGCAAAGTGCTCAGAAACACGCAACGAGGAAGGCCCCTCCAAATCTCTCCCCAGCCACAACGAGCAAGGACGGATAAAAGCACCACAGGACCAAACAGCTCTCTGATCCTATGGTGCACGTCCCTCGGCCCAGGGGATCGGGGGAAACCCCAACAAACTGACAAGAGAGACCAGGTTGATTATCCTGTGCTGAATGACTTCGGACCTTGCTGTTTTGTTGGTCCCTGCGCCTCTACGCCACCACCACCACCCTCAGCCTGTCCGCCCTTTATGTTTCTCCTCCTCATCCTCCCCATTCTCCCCTCGAGACGAAGGAAGGATAACAAATCGTGTTGCGGTACAGCGGGAATATCCGAGAGCCGGCGAGTCTGGAGGATGCATCGGACTCCGCGGCCGTTCCAGAGCGCCCCAGACCGCTCGGATGGCGTTACGGAACGTCTTAAAAAGATGTATCTTCATCCTGAGTCTGGCTCGTGCTCCGACAAGAACCAGCTCAGAACCCTCCCTGGGCCCCTCGTTGGTTTCCACGCTGGCCACTTAGTCGAGCTGCATGCAGCCTTGGCGACGAGACGGGGCACCCCTAAGCCCAAAGAGCGAGTAGAACGAGGAGTCAGAGGGGGTCCTAGGCTAGAAGGACGCCAACTGTACACCTGCCCCCACATCGATCCTGACCAGGCCCATCCTGGAACCAGATTCGGTGCATACGCCCTGCCCGTTTGGCAAGGAAGGCACACACGCCAGCCAGCCTGGGGCCCAGGCCTGGCACCAGCCAGAACCGTTGCAGATGTGATTGCGTTCGCCGATACGCCTGCCCCGAGCCCTCCCCCATTCCCCCAAGAAGGGTCGGCAAGAGGGCAGGCCCAGACATCCGACGTGATGACGTTCTCGCAGCGTGGCTCCCCAGAGGTCTGGACCCCTTCCTGAGGACCAACTTCTCATCACGGGGCGCTTCTTGGCGGCCCCAGGGCCTGGTGAGGGCACCCAGTAGCCGAAAAAATCAAGCGACGGGAGGCCCAGGAACGGGGGGTAGCGGAGCCCCGCCGCCCAGGAGGCGGGCAGGCGCCAAAGCCCTCCCCCCCATGGCCTCGAGGCCGGCCGTGAATCGGGCGCGGCCCTGGGCGTCCGTGGTGGTCACTCTCTCCTGGCCCACGGTGAGAGGGGGACGCGCCGGGGGGGATCGGATCCGATCGGAGGTCCGCGGGAGGGCTCCACAAGGGAAGCCACCGCCGGGGACCGGAGGCGCACCGCGTACCCAAAAAAGGGAGCAGGCCACGAAGCGGGCGTTTCAGGCCCTCCCCGGCCTTTTGAGAAGGCCCTCTGCGGCTTCGGAGAAGACTTGGAAACCTTCTCACAAGCTCAGGGGCCTTCTGGGGAAGCTCGCCCCCTCTGCCTTCCTCCCTGGGCGCGCCGCCGACGTGAATGAAAGGCGAATTCGTCGTCGTCGGGGATCGAGGCTCGAGGGCTCGACGATTATGATTCCCAGACTCCCAGAGTCGCCCTTTTTTCACGCCGTAGCTCCCCAGAGGTCTGGACCCCTTCCGGGGGACTTGCTCTTCATCCTGAAACGTTTTTCGAAATTCCCAGGGACTGGTGAAAGACCCACGAGGCCGAAGATGGCCAGAAAACCTTCCCGCATGATGTTGCTTTACGGAGCGGCAAGGTCCGGGCGTCCGACGTTATCACCCCTTTTTGGGCTTCCAGCGGCCCCTAGAAGGCCTCCACAGGCCTCGGGGGGCCTGTCGCCGTTGTCGTCGCCGCCGCCGTCGTCGCCGCCGTTGTCGCCGCCGTCGCCGCCGTCGTCACCGCCGCCGTCGGCCGTCGTCCATCCCTTTGCCGCGACTGGTCCAAACCAACAACCCGCTCGGAGGGAGGGAAGCAGGGGAAGACAGGAGGAAGAGGAGAAGGAAGGATCAAAGCTCCAAAATGCGGGTTCTCAAACAGCGCTGGACCGTTCCCAAGCCTCGGATGGCCGACAACCTCCAGGAGGGACCTCCGAACACCGAGAGTTGCACGGTTGGCAGCCCCTAGGGAACACGAGTGCTGCTCCGCTGGACCTCCCGGGGGCTCACGAACGCGGCAACACTTTCGCAGCTGGCAGCCCCCCAGGGAGCGCGAGGCCGCGTAGAGCGCTGCTGCCCTGGACCTCTCAGGAGCTCGTGAAAGTGGCTGGGCATTTGCGCAGTTGGCAGCCTCCCTGGGAGCGTCAAGTCTGATTTGGGTCTGCGCAGCGCGTCGCCGCAGTCGTCGCACTGGACCTTAAAGGAGATATCGACAGTAGCGACAAGTGGGCGGTTGACAAACTGGCTTGGACTGGGGTGAGCTTTGGGGACTCAACTAAATCAATCGGTTGTCGATGGTTTCCACGATCACCAACAGCATCATCACCCTCATAATCATTATCATCATCATCATCATTAACAGCACCACCATCGTCATCGTCGGCGCCATAATCATCACATCGTCGTTTCCTTCATCATCATCGACATCGCCATCTCATCGTCATCGTCATCGTCATCACGGCCACGATCATCATCATCGTCGTCGCCATCGTCATGCAAGATCAGATGTTGTGACAAGTAAAGGGGTCCAGGGCCTACTCGGCCAGGCCTACGCGGCCTGGCCAGAAGCAGGGGTGGCACGCTGCCTCACGCGGTCAGCGCGCGACACTCAGGAAAGCACCTCCGCCAGGAAGGGGGCGCCACGGGGACCTCGGCCAAGCGCTGGGGCACGGCGTAGTTCACGACGCGGAAGAAATCCGCAGGGCCAGGCGCGGAATCGATCTTGCGCGCCCTGGCCTCCCCAAACACGTCGGAACGAAGCATGACGGCGATCGGCAGTCGCAGGTCGTCGGCGTCGTCGGTCTTCGCTGGTGCGGCAGATCCGTCGAAAGCGCGCCCGCGCTCCTCGCGGCGGATCACGTCACGGTCCAGGGCGGACAGGTTCCCCGCGTAGAAGGACCCAAGCTCTTGGAGGAGGGTGATTTGTCCACGGCCATCCACCTTCTCCCCCACGGAGCGCGCGCCGAAAAGCGCCACGGCCGCACGCAGCCAGGAGCAGCCGCCGCCCGCGTGCGAACCATAGCCCCGCGCGCCTGGTTCCATGAGCTGGATGGACTCGTACGCGAACGCGTTGTCCGCGAAGTCCACTAGCAGGATGGCCTTCCCGTTCGTCTTATAGACATATCATGGCATATTTTCGGAGCGGGCCGCCCCGCGCAATCTGCCGCCCAGCCGCTGCGACGGCCGATAGCGCCACTTCGCCCGCGGCGCTCGCACGAGAGCGACGAAGGGCTTCGACGGGATCAGCTGCAAGTTCGCGCCCCTGTTCTGGGCGCGGCGAGCGGGCGGGTTCTCTTCGCCGACGACGCCTGCGATCTCGGCTTCGAGACCCAGCGCCGCCTCCTCCCCCCAGACGCAATGGGAACGGGTTGCCCCCGTCTCCAGGCGGCCCTTGGCCGCGATGTTCCAGCTGGGGCATGTCTGCAGAAAGCGGAGCAAATCCGCCGATGCGGCGTGCGAGTTGAAGGGGGGGGCGGGCCGGGGGGGCTCTGCCGGGGTAGGAGGGGGGGGGGGGGGTCTTCCACAGATTGGGTTCGGTTGGTCAGGGTTCGGTTGGCCAAAACGGACCCAAACGTTGCCAGGGAGCCGCCAAGACGGGCCAAGACGTTTCTGGATCGCCCAAAAATCGAATCCAAGACGCCGAACATGAACCCAAGACAGCCCAAGAGGCCGCCAAGACGCCCCCAGAGGCCCCCAAGAGGTCTTCCAAAAGCACCCCGACCGGCCAAAATCATCGATTTCCCATAGGAAAACCTACACGTTTAGCATGTTCGCCTCTTGGGCCTTCACAGTGTCCAAAACGGCTCAAGGGGCCCTCAACAAGGCTCCAAGACGGCCTAAGAAGGGCTTACGCAGGCCCAGGAGGCCCCCAAGACGGCGCAAGAGGGCTCCAGGACGGGCCCAAGAGGCGCCCAAAAAGGCTCCAAGACGGCCCAAGAAGGACCCAAGACGGCCCAGGAGGCCCCCAGGAGGCCCCAAGACGGCCCCAAGAGGCCCCAAAAGGCCCCAACTGGCCCCCAAGGGCCCCAAAAAGGCCCCCAATAAGCCCAAAAGCTGCCTCCAAAACGCCCCCCCGAGGCCTCCAAGACGCCTCCAAGGCGCCCCCCGAGAAGCTCAAAAACCGCCTCCAAGACGCTTGCAAATCGCTCATCATGAGCAGCAGCATCATCATCATCAGCAACATCATCGTCATCATCATCATCATCATCATCATCATCATCATCATCATCGTCATCGTCATCGCCATCGTCGTCATCGTCATCATCGTCATCATCATCACCACCATCATCATCATCAACATCATCATCATCATCAGCATCATCATCGTCATCATCATCATCCGAAGCGCCCCGGATCGGCGGAACTGGCCGGAGGCCATTTCAATATCGGCCGAGGTTCTCCTCCGCGATCGCTCCGACGCCGCCATTGCCAAGCTGCTTCGCCGGACGGGCGCGCAGCTCCACCTGGCCAAGCGACCGCAGGAAGCAATGGACTTTCGCCTCGGCGACGCCCGTTCTCGCGGACGGCAGCCACACAAACAACTGATCGACGAGCTGGGCGAGACCTCGGGGGCGGCCGTCGAGGCGGGGAGGGGGCCGCGCCCGCGGAGGCTTCGCTGTTTCAGCCGACAGCCAAGCCTCGCCCGACTGCCCGCGCCACTTGTCGAAGAAAGGCAAGGGGCCCAGCCGCGCGGCTGCGCGCTCGCCATCCGCGCCCCCTTTTTTTGTTTTCTCTCTCTCTCTCTCTCTCTCTCTCTCTCTCTCTCTCTCTCTCTCTCTCTCTCTCTCTCTCTCTCTCTCTCTCTCTCTCTCTCTCTCTCTCTCTCTCTCTCTCTCTCTCTCTCTCTCTCTCTCTCTCTCTCTCTCTCTCTCTCTCTTATTTTCTCTCTTTTTTAATATCTCTCTCTCTCTCTCTCTCTCTCTCTCGCTTCCTGGCGGCCCCAAGATCTTCGCCCCGGCATCCGCGCAGTCTCTGCCGTTCGTAGCGGAGAAGAGCGGCTGGCGCGCGCGTGGCTCCGCGATCGGGCACCCGAGAAACCACGCGCCCACATCTCATTGAAAGCGCCGGCTCCGTAGGAGGGCGCCGGGCGGCCTGCAACGGGGCGCGCGCGCGCTGATCTCGTCGCCGCTGGCGCGCAGCTTCCTCCGCAACCTGGCGCGGGGGCCCGCGATCTCCACGCAGCCGAAATCGCCGATGACCGCCTGCGGAGAGAGGAGGCGAACGGAGGGGACGGGAGCGACGACGACCTCCTGGGAGAAGAGAAAGAGTCCCAGCAGGGCGACGCATCCAGCTCTAACATCCCATGTTAGATCTCGATTTGAGCTCTAACATCAAATGTTAGATCTCGAGTTGGGCTCTAACACCACATGGTAGATTTCGATTTGAGTTTTCACATCCGATGATCTCGATTTGAGCTCGAACATCCCAGGGTAGGTCTCGGTTTGAAATCTAACATATCATGTCAAATCTCGACTTGAGCTCTAACACCCCATGTTAGAATTCGATGTGCGCTCGCACGTCCTATGTTAGCTTTGCTTGAGCTATCTCGATTTGAACTACGGGATGTTAGAGTGCAAATCGACATGTAATATGATGTTAGAGCCCAAATAGATCGAACATGGGATGCTAGAGCCCAAATAGAGATCGAACACGGGGTGCGAAAGCTCACACAGAGACCGAACATGGGATGTTAGAGCTCAATGCGAAATCAAATATGGGATGTTAGAGCAAATCGAAATCATATGATGTTAGAGCCCAAAATCGAGATCTGGCATGGGATGCTAGAACTCAAACCGAGATCTAGCATGGCCCGTTGGAACTCAACCGAGTTCCAACATGGGATGTCAGACCTCAAATCGAAACCGAACATGTAATGTTAGAGCTCGAATCGAGATTTAACCTGAAATGTTAGAGCTCAAATCGAGATCATGAGATGTTAGAGCTCAAATCGAAGTCTACCATGGGATGCTAGAGCTCAAACTATCCTGGCGAAGGACCCAATCATATGCAGTTGTGACTACCGAAGTTGTGGGCATCGTCTTCGGTGGGGCCCCCTATGGACGAGGGGGCGGGCGGGACGCGTGCAGACACCGCTGCTGGGGCCTTCGTTGGAGCTCCCTATGGGCCCACGAAGCGCTCTACTGGGCGGGGGGGCGCATGCGGACACCGCCACTGGGGCCTTCGGCGGAGCTCCCCATGGGGCCACAAAGCGCTGCACTGGGTAGGCGAGACGCACGTGGACACCGCCACTGGCCTTCGGTGGAGCACCCTATGGGGCCACGGAACGCTGTGCTGGGTCAGAAAAGCGCACGTGGACACCGCCACTAGGGCCTTTGGTGGAGCTCCCTCTGGGGCCACGAAGCGCTGCACTGGGTTGGGGAGACGCACGTGGACACCGCCATTGGGGCCTCAGTGGGGCCAAAACGAGACGACATCACCCAACCTACGGCACGACGGCGTTGGATTTGTTAACACTTGCCCCGTGCGGACTCGGCTCGTTACCACGAAGACCCCGCGTTGGCGCCGGGGGGCCGCCGCGCCGCGCCCGCGCCGAACGCCGCCCCAGCACCGTGCGCAGCAGCAACGACATGGGCCCCACGCTCTGGCCACGCGAGATTTCCAATCACAGAGCATACGCCGCTCGCCACGCACAGCGCCCGATGGCGCTGTTCGGGGGCACGCTGCCGCCGCGCTTTGTCTTGCCCGACCCAGCGACGAGCCCAGCGCGCATGCCGCTAGCGTTGTCCAGAACAGCGTCGCCGCACCCCGTCGAGCTGACCTGCGTCGCGCCGGCGGCGCTCGTCGCGCCAGTTAGCGTCGCGGCGCCAGCCCCCGCCGCGTTCCCACGCAGCGGTGGGGGGGGCGTCGCGCTGCGAGTTGCAGCGCTGGTCCGCACTGCGACGACGGCACCCGCCGCGGCGATCAAACTCGCGTTGCTGGCGTCCGCGGTTCGGGCCCCTGGTGACTGTCGAACTGGGATTGTTGCGTTCGGTCGCGCTGCTCGGCGTCGGGCCGTTCGCGCCCGTCGCGCTGCCTTGCGTCGCGGTCATGGAACCCGATGGGCCGCCCACTCTTGCGCGGCCGCGCCATGCGCCGCGCGCTTAGAATACGCCCACGGGGGCGAGTCGCGGCAGGCTGATCAGCGCCGCGTCGCCCGCGCCCGCCACACCGCGCGCCGATGGATATCCGCTGCGCCCGTCGCGCCGCCCGGCGTCGCAGCGGGGGCGCGCGTCGCGCGGTCTTCTGGCGCCCGTCGAGCGGCTCAGCGCGGCGCTGGCGGCGCCAGTCGCGCTCTCGGCCCTAGAACGACCTGGCTTGAACCAAACAAGCAACGGAGGGCGGGGGAACGGGCAGCAGGCGGGGCACGAGGAACGCGAAGGGGCGGGAAAAACGGCGGCAACGACGGCAGCGCCCGCGCCGCCACTGGCATCGCCGCGCACGCCCAGGCTGACGCTGCACAACCACTAGCAGCGCTTTTAACGGAGGATCAAACAGAACCTGGGGGAATCGCGCGGCGGAAGCAGGAGGGGGGAAGCAAGATTGAAAGCGGGGGGGGAACAGTCATGGCGAAGCTGCGAGGCTGCGAGGCTGCGCCTATGTCGTCCCAGGGGGACGGCCCTACGCGGGGCTAGGCGATGGCGCCGGGGCGCCGGCCACGAACTGGAACAAACTCAGATGAAGTAGTACACGAAAATTTGTGGTCACGATCCCGGCTCGCTGTTGTACTGGCGGTACTTCCACTTAGCCTCGTCGATGATATTGTCCAAGCGTGCTAACGTTTTCTCGGCATACTGCTTGAACCATTCAGGTGCACCTTCAGCCGGGTCCACTTCGTCATCACCACTGCCCAAGCTCATCTTCTCGTCGCCGGAGGCCTCCTCAATGGTGTCGTTATCGTCCCCCTCTGCCTCTGTTACATTCTCCATATCCGTCTTCATGTTCATTTTCACCTCATCGTTCATCTCTCCCTTCCTCTGGTCCTTCATCTTTTCGTCCTCGCCCTCCTTGTTAGACTCGGAGTGGGAAGCGTGCTCATCGGGTTCCGACGCATAGGTTCTCTCTGCCTCCAGGGGCATCTCCAAGCTTCCGGGCTGCTTGCCTGTCAGGGAAGGGAACTCGGGCACCTCTGGCAGCGGCACGAGTTTCGGAAGAATGCGCCCCAGCTCCATGTCTATCTTCAGGAAGTCGCTTACCGAAGTGCGGAAAAGCAACAACTCGATGCGTGTCAGCCGCTTGTCGATGCTGCAAGTGTCGATGTTGCTAGTGTTGTTCGTGTGCTCGTCTACTTCCCGGGCGATGGAGCTACAATCGCTGTCGATGGTCAAGACATCTGTTTTCATGGTGCCCTCGAGCCTGTCGAATCTGTCTGTGATCTCCTGCATCCGGTTGTTCATCTTGTCCACGTTGGTGCTCATCATCTCGATTGCGAGCTCCATGGCAGATAGTCGTGAACCAATGCTTGCCATATCTCGAGCCACTGCTTCATGTCGGCGTTGAGTCCGGATAGGCCATGCGCTGGTAGATGTGGACATTGCGGCCCGGTGGCTGTGCTCGCTGTGCCGGGGGCTGTGCAAGCTGTGCCAATCCCCTTGAGCTGTGCAAGTCATGGCGAAGCTGAGAAAAGGAAGGGGGGGGGCACAAGGCGGGCGGGAGGGGAGGGAGGAGGAAAGAGGGGCTGAGGGAGGATGGACGGGGAGGGAAGCGAGAGGAAGAGAAGCCAGGTGCACGATTAATGAACAGGGATGGGGAGGAGGGAAGCGGAGGGCGAGGGGGGGGAAATGAAAGAAGGAAATGGCAGAGATAACGCGAAATAGACGACCGAAGGTGGACGCGGGGGAAGGGGGAGGGGAGGGGGGATAACAGGGAGGAGGGATGGGAAGGGGGGATGATAGCAGAGGAAGGGAGGAAGGAGGAAGCAAGAGACAGGGAATGATGGACACGTGGGGGAAGGGCTGTATAGAAAGCGCCGCGGTGCACAGCCGTCGCGAACACCAGCGCGTCCGGCGAGGAGGCGGCGCGCTGGGCGCCCCCGCGGGAGCTGCAAGGCCCAAGGCACGGCCAAACCGGAGACGCTGCGCCCCGGGGGCCGTAGCGCATACCTCTTGTCTGCCCTGTACGTTTACACGGTATACGCTACGGCCTCGCAGTGGCCGTAGCGTACACCATGGTTTTTGCGCGGTATGCGCTACGGCCCCGATCGGGTTTTGTCGATAAGCGGGTCTGCCCGCGTTCACACCGACGCCCCCCTCTGGGGCCCCGGGGGGGCCCCCGAGAGCATGGGCAAGGGGCCTCCGGAGGGCCCAGAAAAGCCGGCGCGCCCTACGCTGCCACCACCGGCGCCCCAGCCCGCAGGCGGACCGAGGAGGGACGCGGAGGAGAAGGAACACCGGGGAGGAGGAGGAGGGCGGGGGGGAGGGGAGGAGGAGGAGAACGACGAGGAGGGGAGGAGGAGGGGAGGAGGAGGGAGGAGGGGAGGAGGAGAGAGGAGGAGAGGAGGAGGAGGAGGAGGAGGAGGAGGAGGAGGATGGGGGGGGCGAAGGGGGACAGAGAGCGGGCGGGCTCAGACGGGGGAAGGGCAGAAGGGGAGGGGGACGGCGGAATGAGAGGCAGGAGGAGAGGGAGAAGGAGGGGGGAGGAGGGAGGAGCGGGGACGGGCAAGAGGAGGGAAGAGAGGGGGGGGAGACGAGGGGCGGGGAGGGAGGAGGAGGGAGGGGGGAGGAGGGAGGAGGGAGGAGGGAGGAGGAGGAGAAGGAGGAGGAGGAGGAGGAGGAGGAGGAAGAGGAGGAGGAGGAGGAGGAGGACAGGGAGGGAGGGGTTCAGTGCTGCATTGTTTCCTCGGCGTCGTCCCTGGTTCGCGGCGATTGTCGTCGTTTTGCGCGGGCAAACCGAGCGGGTACCGTTGTTCGCGCAGGCGTTCCTGCGTCAATTGCGGAAGCCTGCGCGTGCCAGCGGGTGGTTGCATTGCCAGCTCGTTGTCAGCGTGGGTTTCGCGTTTTTCTTGGCGGCCCGCAGGCGCGTTCCGCATTCGTCGTTTCTATTTGCAGGCCGCGTGAATTTCGCGCCGCAGCGCGCGCGGCATAAACCTCGGGCGCCGCTGGCATCGCTTGGATTCTCCCGCCCGCCCACGCGTTCCATCCACGAATCGATCATCCATCCCTCTCTCTTCCCTCTGCGCGCATCCTTCCTCCTCCCTTGTCCGTCCATCTTCGTTCCCGCTGCAGCTGTCACCGTTATCCGTCCATCGCCATTCCGCCTCACTCCTCCCCCCTCCTCCTTTCCCATCCCCCTGCCTTTTCTCGGATGGTTAATTCTCCTTCCTCCCCCCTTTACCTCCCCCCTCTCTCCTGCCTCCCCCCCCATCCCTCGCGCTTCCTCCCTTCCCCCTCCCCCTGCCCCCCGCCCCTCCTCCTTCGCCGTTCCCTAGCCGCTCGCCCACTTCGTGAGCGCCCCCTGCCCCGTCTGCTTCCGCCGACTGGCCTGCCCCTTCCCCCCCCTCCCCCACCCCCACCCCTCCTCGTCCAAACCAGGGACTACTCTGGCGACCTCGCGCCACGCCCCTGCCATGCCCGACCCAAATCTGACGAACACTTGAAAACACGCGCGCGGGCCAGGTCCGACCCGGAACATCCAGAACCACGCGACGCGTCGAAAGCTCGCGCCAGGCTCGAGCATCTAACAACCTACATGAATGAACCCGCAATGGTTGAGCAACTCACCACCCCAACACCAGGCGAACTCACCCCGTGCCCCTCGCGACAAGAAGCCCGCAGGTTCGGCGAAGCAGCAGCCTTCGACGCCAGCCAGACAAGACAAGCGGCGAACTGACAGAACAACCTGACCGCGTAGACAACGAAGAGGCCCCAACCAGCACGTCGAAGTCATGACGAACTACGACTGCCAGCACGTCGCCATCACGTCGTCGTCGACCAGGAAGCACCACGCGAAGGACAGCGAGGCTTGGTCGCGAAAATTCAGCACGGCGTGCCGTAGGTGGGGCGGTGTCGCGCGTTTCTTGGTCGACTTAGGTGGGCCCCCCTACGGGGCCCCGAAACGCAGTGCTTGGTGGGGGTAACGCGTGTGGACACCGCCACTGAAGCCTTCGGCGGAGCTCCCTATGGGGCCACGAAGCACTGCACTGGGCGGGGGGGTTGTGTGTCGTGCGTCGTGCGTCGCACGTCGTCGTCGTCGCCTCCGTCGTCGTCGTCGTCTCTGTCGTCGTCGTCGCTGTCGTCGTCGTCGTCGCCAGGGAGGGGGGGCGCCGTGGACATCCCGACGATTTATAACCAGGGCGGATGGGGAGAAGGGGGGGTGCATCCGGCGGGCCCCCTCGCTAATTTCCCGAGGGCGCCCCCCACGAATTGTCCATGGGTGGGGGGGGCGGGGGAGGGCGGCCCCAGAGCCCACCCGCTATTTTTCCCTGGGCGAGCGGGGGGGTGGGCAGAAGGGGGGGTCAGGAAACCCACCCACCCCCCATGTTTTGAATGGGGGGGGGATTGAACCACCACCACCCCCCTGCCAGCAGCGGCAGAAAACATTTGGTTTAACGGTGCGAAGCCTTCGGGGGGGGCACAGGATGGCTACGTGGGGCGCTTCTGCGGAGCTGTGGGCGCCACCCGGGGCACCGTCGGAGCCTCGTGGGAGGGGCGGGCCTCCCCTGGACAATGTTGGAAAGCTCTTGTAGCCAAGGCGCAGATAGATACATCAATGATCGCCACCAGTCGAGCCAACCCTCGGGTGCGACGGCGCCCAGGGGGGCAGATAAATGGGCACAAATTGCACAGGTGTGTCGTATCTGTAGATAGGTGGATGCGCCACACCAGCCAAGCAAAGCAGGAGATCAATGGGCAACTTAGGGCGATGATGCGGAAGAAGAAGAAGTTGAAGAGGGCGAGAACGGCGATGGGGGCTGACCAGGAGGCGTAGGAGGAGGCAGGGAAGCCTACGAAGAGGAGGGTGCACGGCTGGCTGGGTCGCAGGAGCAGCTGGCGACGCCGCGATGCGGGAGCACTTTGACTTGAAGGACAGCTGCAACCAAGTGAGCCAGAGGCCTGGCCAAATAAGGAATATTTGCGGTATCTAGGTGAACCTCTATGGTTCCCGTGGGAACAATTTTGAAGCCTCTGTGGGCGCTGTTCGGGACTGTCTGGGCGCCTCCTGGGACCTCTGCACGGGCTGTTTAGGGGCCTCTCGGGGCCTCTGGGGGAACTCTTGGGGCCCGCTGGCGGTCCGAGGGCCTCTCTGGGGCCGTCTTGGGATTCTCTTGTGGGCCTCTTGGGCCGCCGTGGGGCGGTTTAGGTGGCCCGTTTGGTCCGTCGAGGTTGGCTGCCTGGGGCACTCAAGGTGGGCGGCCTCATGGAGCCCTCTTTCGGCGCCTTGGGGGGCTCGTTGCTCGGAGGCTCGTTGCTCGTCTTGAAATCATGTTGGCGCATCTTGGAGCGCTCGCAGGGCGTCCGGGGCGGTCTCGAGCGGGCCCCGGGGGCCTCTGGAGCCGTGTGAGAATCCTGAGGGGCCCCACCTGGGAGCCCTTGGGCCGCCCAGGGCCCCCATGCCACGACGTGGCCGAGGTTCTGGGCCCGCCCCTGGCCTGTTCTGGTTTATGTATGTATTTTATGTGTACACATACATTATATATACATATATTGTCATTTTAAACATAAAATTATATATACGTATGTATACATATATTTACATACATATAAACATACATATGTACATGCATGCACATACATTATCATATGCAGATATGTTTATATACACATACGCATTCATATTTATATACTTGCTGAGTGTACATCTAAAAAGAATTAAAACATGTTTAAAAAAATCCGGGTATCGAATGCGCGACAGGAGGACGAGCAGCAAGAGGGGACCGAAGCAACAAGAAGGATGGAGGGCGAAACCGCCCCACCAGACGGCCCCCACGCCCCCAAAAACAGCCCCCAGAGGCCAGAAGTGGCGAAAGGCCCAAGCGAGCCTTCTTCACGCCACCGGAAGGACGAGAATGATGTCATGATAGGTCTGGGTCAAGATACTTTCCAGGATTTCAAGAATATCTAGCGGCCCTCGTTTCTGCAGCTCGTGCAGAACGTTAGGACATCTCGGAAATCCTGGAAGCCTTTCAACCTATCATTATCACGACCCTGCTCGTCTAAGCCACGGGCCTGGGAAAAGCCGCCCAAGAAGTCGGCCGCTGGACCGCGGCTGTCGCGGCAACGGCGCCAGCGCCGGCGCAAAAAGCTGGCGACGGCGGCGCCGTCGCCGTCGTCGGCGTCAGCGTCGCCGTCGCCGTCCTCGTCGCCCTCCTCGTGGTCTTCACCGTGGCCAAACGCCGACGCCCGTGCCCGAGGAAGGGCAGAGGAAGGGCCGCCCTCCGCTGCGGGCGCGGCTGCCGGCGCTGCCGCGGGCGCCGGCTCCGCCGCCAACGGCGACGCGGGCGCTGGCGCGGGAGCGGGCGTTGGCGCGGGCGCGGGCTCGGCCTCGACGCCGGCGCGGGCGCCAGCGCAGGCACGGAGAGCGACGGAGGAGGCACCTGGGCCCCCTCGCGCCGTGCAACAACAACAACAACAAGAAGAAGAAGAAGAACAACAACAGCAACAGCAACAGCAACAGCAACGACAACGACAACGACAACGACAACGACAGCAACAGCAACAGCAACAGCAACAGCTACAGCTACAGCAACAACCAGAACAACAACAATCATGTTAAGACTGGTCGCTCCTATCTGCTCACGTGCCAGTCAATACGCATGTCCCAAACCCTCGGTACCCGCCCTCGTCGTCTTCGATCGTACCCCCTTGGGAATGTATATTCCATACCTACCACGTGCATTTAGTACAGCCCCTAAAATAAGGGAAGAGAGGACGGGTGGAAGGAAGAGGGAGAAGATTGGAGCACGAAAGAGAAGGCTGGATGGAAGGAAGGGACACGGGGGAGGAAGGAGGATGGAGCAGGAGAGAGTAACAGGAGGGGGGCAAGGAGCAGAAAACACGTGGCAGAATCAGACGGGCAGATCGGGCGGGTAGACCCTAACGGGCGGGTCGGGAAGGCGTGCCCAGGCGACCAGGTCGAGCTGGCGGGTTGCTAAAATGTGGGTCCTGCAGAAATCGCGAGGAAGTCTCGAGCGATAGTGCGATTCCCAAGTAAATCGTGAGAAAAGCCAAAGCGAGAGCGTGATTCCTGAGCGCCGAGGGCTCATCATCTGAATAAATTACGAGGAAGTCCCACGCGAGAGCGCTATGCGTACATGAATTGTGAGAAGTCCCGCGCGAGAGCGCGATTTGGGAATACATTGCGAGGAAGTATCAGGCGGGAGCCGTTGTTGTTGTAAACTGGGGGCCAGGGGCACAGTTTGAGCCCCGCGACCTTCCTTGTTAAAAACAGGGTGCGAGACACGGGGGAAGCACTTCAATTGAAAAAACACAATGGTCACCAGAGGGGGGGAATCAACAATAATTATGCTTCAGCAGTGAGAGCTCAATAACAACAACAACAACAACAACAACAACAACAACAACAACAACAACAACCACAACAACCACAACAACAACATGTCTTGTTGTTTTCCTACCCCTCTCCTGCAGCTCAAGACGGCCCAAGAAGCCTCGACGATGGCCTCAAGCCAGCCCTATACACGTCCCGCCACCCAATGTGAAAAAAAGGCTCGGCTTAAGATACGGGGTGCCTCCTCGTCTCAAGCGAAACCGCGCCCACATGACTGCGTCTCTAATTGCGCGTCCCTGTGCAGCCTGGACGCCTGAGATCTTCAAAGAAAAGCCAGGCAAACCGGGTGCAACCCACAAGCCGACCTGCAGTAGGCAAACTTATGATGTGAACCGTGGCCTGAGAGAGAGCGAGCGTGTGAATGGTGACGAATTACCCCCCGCCCTGCGCCGGCCGCAGGCCACAAGAACCACACACCCGGAAGATACAGCCACACCAGGGGAGATACACAAGAACAAGAACAACAACAACAACAACAACAACAACAACAACAACAATCAGTTTACCCTTATGCGCGATGTTTCCACACGAAGCATGCGACCATCATGATAACCATCCCCATCATAGGGGGACTCTTGTTCTATAGCGGGGTCCGTTATTCCCATTCCCTGATCTTCCGCCCAGTGGGGTCTTGCAAACACCTCCTCCGAGGAATTCCAAAATATCCCGCCTCGAAAACGCATGCCCGCGCCTTGCTGCGCCGATGCGAGACCGCCAGTGGAGCCCCAGCCAAGGGTAAAGCACAAGGACGCATCGAGCGACAGGATTGCCTTGGTGGGGATGGGGGCTGTCGGCGGCGAGGCAAGGACCTGGTCGTGAATAGAAAGGGAGGAAGTCTCGAGCAGGGCCGTTGATGCTGCTGGGAGCGGCGCCAATGCTGAAGAAAGTCGGGCGCTGTTCCAGCGTAAAACAAAACGAAGTCTCGAGCGGGAACGGTGGTTTGTTGGGACGGCGGTTGTCGGCGGCGAGGAGGAACACCGCCTTGAATAAGAAGAGAGAGAATCTCGAGCGGGTGCCGTGGTTTTGTCGGGACGGGGGCTGTCGGCGGCGAGGAACAGCACGGTGCTGGGGAAGAAAAAGGAAGCCTCGAGCGGGAGCGTTGTTCTTGCTGGGAGCGGCGCCAATTCCAAAAAGAGTATCCAGCGTAAACGGGAGGAAGTCTCGGGCGGGAGCCCTGGTTTTGTCGGGACAGCGGTTCTCGGCGGCGAGGTAAGGGAGGCAGTCTCGAGCGGGAGCATTGTTGTTGCTGGGGGCGGCGCCGATGAGAGAAAGAGTAGCGCACCAGTCCAAAGAAAAATGGGAGGAAGTCTCGAGCGGTAGCGCTGGTTTTGTTGGAAAGACGAGAGAGCTGCTTGCGCCTCCTCCCAGGAGGTTTTGTAAACTCGCTCCTTTCGGCTCTTGTCCCTCCGCCTCCAGCCTGTCCGCCACGGCGCCTGGCTAGACGTGCCTCTTCAGGCGTCGGCGGCCGGCAGAGAGTTTCGACGGCCCCGCTGTTTTTCCGAGGCATTTTACTTGAGGCCCGAAGCTGTGCTCCTGACTTACCAGGCCTGCGCCGCGGCCAGGCGGTCTTCCGGGCGACGCGCTGCCCGCGTCCTGTCGACGACGAAAACGGCGGCGGCGACGCGGCGTTCCTCGCCGCGGCGTCGAGCGCCGCCGTCGCGACCACTGGCCCGACGGGGGCGGGCGCTGGCATAGCGCAGGGCGGAATCAGCGGCGTCGGGCATCTCCTTGCCCTCGCGCAGGCAGCAATAGACCTTGTTGGGGACGTCCCACGGCACAACGTCGCCCCCACCGCAGTTGGCCCCACGTTGGGTCGCGGCGCGCAGCGGAAGAGCCAGGAGTCATTGTCCTTTCCTCTCAGACATGGGGCCTTTCAGAGACAGCCACAAGAAAAAAAGAAACGAACGGCAAATCATTGCTCTGAAACGAAATGCGATGCGCAAGGAAGACGAAACAACAAACAGAAACGTGAAAGAAACGCCCGGCGCGGAAACCGCCGCCGGAGGGAAGGGGAAGGAGGGCCGCCGACGCCGCCGCCAACGGAGGGCTGTTGTCAACCACTCAGACACCTCACGTTGTTCTCCATACTGCAACTTCGGCCTGCGAACGCTGTCCGCGCTGAGGGCGTTCTTCAAATATTCCTTGTTCCGCCTCCAACGCGAGGGCGGGGCGCTTCCGCAAGATGTCGCGCACTGTCTGGCGCGCGCGTGCGCCTTCGTCTGAATGGACAGCAGCGCCCATGATGTTGCATTGCACCACCACGCTCCATCATCATTTCGCGGATGATATGCTGGATTGGTATTCATGCGGTCGCCCGTGCGCATCCTGCCCCAGTATTCCTTACAGTCCGGTGGTACCTCCAGCGCAGGGGCAGATTGCCCCGCTGGACTGTTAGCAGGTTGCCCCGCAGAACTCTGAGCAGGTTGCCCCGCAGACCGCGGGGCAGCCTTTGACGCTGGGGCTGCAAACGTTGCCACGCTCGCGACCGACGCGGTAGCACCAACAGAACCTCTGGGAGTCCTTGGAGTTCCTTGCGGGGCACTGACGTCGAAGTCCTGGTGATTCTTCTCCCTGATGTCGTAGGACTCGATATCCTTGTCCCTGGGCACTGCTCCCGGTACCTTTGGTGTAGTAGCGCGGAGCTTCTCAGTATGCCGCGTTGAAGACGCAGGCCCTGTTCTTGCTTCCAAAGCGGGCGCCCACCCTGATCTGTGCGTCCGACCAGGTGCAGGGCCGCGACGTGGCACAGGCTCCTTTGGAGTAGGCTTACTGGCCTGGAATCTGGCTGCTGCGGCGGCCACTGCTGGCCCTCTAGATCGTTGTCGATCAGAGCGTTGCTCAGCAGGTTGCCCCGCATATCTCCTGCCGCCCCCAGGATCAGGATCATCTGGGCTCTCACGCTTCTCTTCTTGGGCCCAGGATGATCAGGGCCAAGAGATGGGCTTATTGAACCAGAATCAGAGTCAGAAGACGAAGGAAGTTCGATCGTTTCTGGCTTCGGTTCGGGCGCTGCCCCTGCCGCAAATCCTATTGGCGCCCCAGAAGAACACCGCCGATAACGCTTCGTGAGACCCCGGTCAGGATTCAGATCGTCACCACCTTGCCTCCTGAGAGCCATGTTCTTAATAGGAACTTTCTTCTTCCCATCAAGTAAGTACTTATCTGCACAACGCTATGCGGCGATGTAAGTAGTGATCCAACCCACACCTCGAGCACGGTAAACGAAACGCCTGCCAGGCGAGAGCTCCATATCTCTGGTGACAACGTGATCAGTGTTGATCGGAGTATCAGTTTCACATGTAATGTCCGTGATACCCGAATCACTTGAGTCACCGTCGCCAAGGGCGGCTTCCGCAGGACCAACTTCTCCAGCCATTTCAGCATCTTCATCTTCCACTTCATAAACATATGGTTGGCTTCTTCTTCTGATTTATAATCGGCAGGCTTCCCTGCATGCCAACCACGACTGAACTGCACCAGATAGTGCGTAGGTGTCATATGATACCAAATAGCTCTTGTTTGTTCAATTTTTGTAACTGTAGCAGGGAGGTAATCCTTCTCCGTCAGCCGCTTCTCGCACGGCGTGCTATTGGGGTCAGTACAATACCCCCGACAGTCTCGATGTGACCAAACCCACGGCGTTCCTTTGAAAATCGGGCTTCTTGATGGGCGTCTCATGGGAGAGCCAAGCCTGCGATCGGCATAGCCGGGGCATGCACAGCAAACGCCTCTGCAGCGCTTTCGATCCTCGATCATGGCCCTTTGGTGATCACGCGCGATCAGCTTTTCCAGCGATTTGGTCTGTCCCTTTGTTGAGCGAATGATTTCGCCACCGTCATTTCGCATGGTTCGGCGAAGAGCATACCAGCGTCGAAGCTGATGTTCGGTCCAACTGATCTGCAGGCATGCACTGACGAGCCAATCCAGGTACTCCAGCCTTTTAAGCGCTGTACTTCACATTCTGAATCTCCTTCTCCTCGATGTTGATCATCTTGAGGCGGGTTTCCCCGCAGACGTTCCCTCCTTGGGGGGGCATGCGCTCTTGGCGTCTTCCCTGGCGGGCCACTTAAAGTTCCCGCCTCAGGAGGGCGAGGACGCTGAACACCGCTCGAACGAGCACCACTGGAGCGGGCTCGCACCTGATCCGGCGAGAAACTGGGGGCTCGACCGCGACGTACCATGCGGTCATCATCTCCCCGTTCGTCCTCGTCGCCCATTGGCGACAGACTTGGACCGTCGCGATATTTCTTCCTCCTCATGAAGGGCACGCGGCTCGGCGATTGCCTCGGACTGCTGGCGGACCGATCTGACGCAACAAAAGTATAATGTAATTCTTCATTATGTCCAAACTCATGTTGAATACGTTCAGATAAGTCACCAGCGTCACGCGGGCTTCACCGCAATGGATCATCATCGATGAATTCCGCGCTTGTCGGATTTCCAGTCACCCAAGGATAAAGCACGGCATGTACTTCTTCATCCGTCGCGGGAATGGTAGAGTCTGGGTCCGCGGGTGTCTCCGCCATACCAAAATCACCTTCGACGGGCACGTGGAAGTTCTCGACAAACTCAATATCTGCAGGTTGCCCCGCGATGGGTACACCCAGCCACTCCGCCAAATCGATACCGTCGCGGCCAGCGAACACCTCCTCAAACAGCTCGTCGGCGCAATTCTCGAGGTTCATACTGGCAAACAAATACCCGGCAGCCATGACATGAATGACTGCGGCTGAGCCGTCAGCAGGGTCGGCCAAAAGCGACTCCCAGTCGACGCACTGCATGTCGGAGTCCGTTCGAGCCCAATGTATTGACGGACCCCTGCCTCTTCCATCGCCTCGGGGGCATTCGCGTCGGAAATGTTGTGCACTGCGGCATATGTCGCACTCCATGGTTTTACCGTTGGCATCCTTCGTATTTCCTCGTCGTCCTTAACCTTTACCTGATGCTTGCCTACGGCTTCTGCCAGCACCTCAAAACATTTCTTCATACTGGGGCCAAGTGAGAGACGCTGGGAATGCTAGTATGCCTCTACCGTGTAATCGCCGACGCTTACATTTGCCTTTACTTCGACCCTTGCCTTGTCCTTTAAGTGTCCGCCGTACCATGCGTCTTACCCTTCTGACTGGTTTCTTTATGAATCTCCGCCCACGACGCTTGTGTTTTTGATCGCCCCCCCCCCCCAAAAAAAAAAAACACTGAGCTCGCTGCTCTTCGGTAAGGTTATGTAGGCATATCAGAGTAGTCCAAAGCGGTAGCTTCGTCATCAGAGGACACATCGGCATCGGCGCCTGAGTCGAAGTCGGACTCGGCAGGTTGCCCCGCAGAGCCCATTAGGGTCATAGCTAGTACAGGGGAGACCGCATCGGGTGGCCCCCTAGATCTGGCCCAGGGGTCTTGAGACCCCGAGGCCGTTCCGCCATTCGGGGCCAACAATGTAGTGGTCTCAGTCGGCGGTATATCATCGTTCCAGACGTCGTTAGCAGGTTGCCCTGCGTTGACCTCTGTATGGGAGGTCTCGGTTCGGTGACCGTGACTGAAAATACAACCGATATTGCCAGGGGTCCTCTGAACTATCTGATCATATGACCTCATACGTTCGAGGAGAGCATCAAATTGTGCTTGGTCCCTCGGCATATGGTGGTTCAGAGGCTGCAGGAGCTGCTGCGCCCGCGACGCCCCCACTCCCAGAGCTCTGAATAATATTACTGTTAATATATGGAAGTTGGGGATGTTGAAGCCGGCGGCTTCAGCTTCGTAGCGGGCTATCTCGAACCGTGCTAACGACTGGTCGGTTCGTTCTCCCGCATGGACACGAAAGTCGATGAGAGCCGTGCCAGAGTTGAGTTGGCGTTCCAATTCTAGGTTCTCGAGCTTCGCACTTAAGAGGAACATAATATACGTGACGCCGATGGCGCGGCGACCACCTATATTGACACCAAAATTGATGACTGCTGGGGGGATTATCATGGCTATGGTCCGCGCGAGCCCTCCAAGACCGCGCTGTAGTGCGGCGGCCTGTTGGGAGGGCGTCATGTTGCCTGTGGCCACGTTGATCCAGGCGTGTACCTCGCGGACGAACTCGCGAAGTGGCACTTGACCGGCAGGATCCCAGTGGGGGCCAGTCGTCCTAACGTCGTCTCCGCCCCACATATGTCCCACCGCACATCCAAGAGCGACCCATATGAGCCCAAAGATAATAACCCCAATCCAATGGCCTCGTAGGTCGTAGTGGGGTGTAGTCGGTGGAGACTTGTGCTTGTCGTTGTAAATCTGCGCGGGGTCGGATGCGGCAGTATATCGTATCGCATGTTTCCATGCATTATGTCTTCGAAAAAACTCCAATTGGAGTAGGTGGGTGGACTTCAGGAGTGTAGTAGCGCAGGGATGTAGAATATGAGTCAGAGACCTCCGCTGGAGCAGAGGTGTCGCTGCAAGTTTCCTTGCGGTACTGCGAATCTATGTACACTCCTCCGCGCAATGCCACTGCACCCTGATGTTCCACCGTATATGTAGTCCACCAGGTAGTGCCGTGGATGGTGAGGAGTAGAGCTAGAGCTGACCACCATAGGCCAGTTCCGCTACCAAGTTTGAAGGGGGCTGGGAGGCCCAGCCAACAGCTTCGCCTCAGGCGAAGCCAAGCTCCAGCTCGGTTGTATCGTAGTAACGATAGTCCCAATACAAGAGGCGATGTCATGTCAAGTAAAAGGGGATGCTTTTTAGTATCAATAGCGATAATGTGCGTCGCGGTGACGCACAGTCAAATCTGGGCGGCCGGCCGCTTTGAGCCAAGGCGGCCGCGGGCGCACGCTGGTTTCCACTCCGTACGTCCCCAACTCGCTTTAGAGTAGTCAAACGGTTCATGGCACGCGCGACGAATTTGTGCCTCCCTATCCGTCCAAACAGCTGCTCGCAGACTTGGCTGTTATGCCTTATACGTACGTATGTTTGCAATCTGCCTTGGGTGAACAGTTCGCCAAGCGCCACGGGTCGACGTAGTTTTTGTCATGTATTCCGTCCGTGATGTACTTCACACTGGGGTAAGAAAGCCTGTCAGTCAACGGGCCGTGCTCCTTGCGCTTCGACGCGTACCTCCGCAAATGACAAGTATCATCATGCCTGACCACATTGATGGCGGGCGTTTTCTCTATCAGTTCAGCCAGGAAGAAATATCCTTGCGGAAGGTTTTCGGAGCCCATGTACTCCTTCAGGTGGGGGGGAAACCACCCGCTTCGATTCCCCCGCGGCGGCTCGCCGCCCCAAGCTTCGTCTCCTCATGCGTCTTGCACGACACTGCTGTCAGATCCGCGACCAGTGTCCAGTGTCCGGTGTCCAGCGCGATTCACTTGCATCATCCGCACGGTCGGACACGTGGTTGCGATTACGAACATGCCTGGCGATTTCCCATCGAACACAAGGCCAATATTATCATTGAACCACTCAACCGGATCAGCCGATCACCTGGATCAGCCGAACCGAGCCGCCGAATCAGCCAGATCAGCCGGATCAGCTGGATCAGCCGGATCAGCCTGATTACAGGAGGAACCAGATCAACGGGATCGACCAGATCATCCGGATCAGCCGGCTCAGCTGGTTCAATCGGATCAGCTGGATGAGTCGGATCAACGGCATTAGCCGGATCAGTCGGTTCACCCAGATCACCCAAATCAACCGGATCACCCGGATGTACAAGATCAGCCGGCTGGAGTCCCAGAGCAGGCAGGGCTGCCCAGCGAAAGAAGCCCATGCCCTGTTCCACATTTGGCGCGCCCCCAATCCTCCCACACAGCCTCACCCAAACGTGCCGTTTCTCGAAAACGGGTGCATCCAATCTCTTCACCTATTCCTCCGAGTCCGGGCTGATCCAGATCTTCCGGGTGCCCCGGGTGCTCTGGGGGTCCCTGCGCGCTCTGGCTCCGGGTGCTCTCCAGGTGTCCCGGGTGCATGCCCCTCGTGTTCTGGGTGTTCCTGGTGTCCCGGGTGCTCTGGGTGTTCTGGAATTTCCAGGTGGCCCGGGTAGGCCTCATGCTCTGGGTGCTCCGGGTGCTCTGGGTGCTCCGGGTGCTCCGGGTGGCCTGGGCGCTCCGGGTATTCCGGGTGCTCTGGGTGCTCCGGGTGCTCCGGGTGCTCCGGGTGGCCCGGGCGCTCCGGTGTTCCTGCTGCTCCGGGTGCTTCGGGTGCCCCGGGTGCTCCGGGTGTCCCGGGCTGAGGCCAGAGAGGAGACTCTCCTCAAACACACACACACACACACACACATTTCGTCCACACCTGGCCTCGCCGCCGCCCGAGGCGAGGGCGACCACGGCGGCCAGCGCGACAACCACTGCGATCACCAGGCGCATGGGATCCCCGTCAGGGCCTGCGGAGGGCGGAGGGCAAGGGGTTGTCGTCGATCGAGAAGCAGGGGGGGTTCGGGTCTCTGCAGCTCGTGCTGCCCGCTGCGCGGGGCGCAATTCGCAGTACAGCCGAACTGTTGCCACACGGAGCAGCTCCTTGTTCGTCCAGGATGGGCCGAGATCCCTCGGGAACCTGCGGATGAGAAGGACTCCGTGCTCCTTCAAAACCAGAGTGAATTATATACCCCAAGCTATCGCGTTGCCCTGGAGGAGAGCAACTCTCTGGTTCAGACCGCGAAGTGCCAAGTGCGGTCAGCTTTGCGCCTCTGCAGAGAATATGCTTGAGCAGTCTGCAGAGAATATGCTTGAGCAGTCTGCAGAGAAAGTGTTCTCCCCCTTTCCTCTCCCCCATGTTTCCCAGGATGGGCAGAAGTGGTGAGGAATGTACAGGGATTGGGAGGAGATCCTGCGGATGTCCTACATGAGGTCTCTGCAGAGATCCTTCGGAATCCAAACGAAATCCTTAGGAGTCGAAAGAACTCCTCAAGATTCCTAAGATGACCCTGGCTTGCAAATCCCCGCGCCGAGCCCGCCAGCCAGCCCGATGCCTCGCCAAACAGCGGACTTCTGGGCCTTGGGGGAAGCCAAAGAACGACGACCCCAGGAGCGCCAATCCACCACCATGATCCAGCACTTCGTGCGTATTAGAAGGCCTGTTAGCTGTGCTTCTGCGACCCCACATCCTTGCAGCAGGCCCGTCGCATGAGTTCACGACCGTGGCCAAGGATGGGCTCAGCTTGGCTGCAACACAAATGACAGACCCCCAGCGCCTGTTCATGATGACCTGAGCCCAGTGGGCCGTTAGTGTCTAATCCCCTTCCTCTACCCAAATCCTCCGATTTTCCCTGTTACGTCTCCTCTTCTGGGTTCTTCTCCTCGTCGTATTCCTCCACCTCCTCCTCACGCTTCTCCTCCTCCTCCTCCTCCTCCTCCTCCTCCTCCTCCTCCTCCTCCTCCTCCTCCTCCTCCCGTAGCCATTTTGGCTCAGAAGAAACTATTTGGCTCGGGGCAGGGGGACCCGTGCAGCGGGGGGCCAACTTCGGAGTGGCCCTGCCCCCCGCGGGCCAGCTAAGGAGGCGCGATGTCTTTTCTCTACCCCCCCTCCTCGTCCCCTCTCGCCCCGCCTTCCACCTCCCGATATCAAAAAGAGACCCGACGTTTTTCCCCCTCGGAGGACATGGGCTCGGCGGCGCCACTGCACAAGCCAGCATGGCTCCACGAGTGCGAGACAAATGAGCAGTGGCAGCAGGCTTTGGCGCTGCTCCTCAAGGAGTTCAACGTCTCCATCCGCCACAGTGATGCGGCGAAGGACGAGCCCGACATCATAAGCTACCAGAGCTGGAGGAAGGGCGAGCAGAGGGAGGCAGAGACGAAAGTCGAGCCCAACTCCTACCTACAGCCGACGAGGCCAAAGCAGCTGGAGGCCAAGATGGAGGCCGCAAGGCGCGGAGCCAGCGGCGAAGGTTGAGCCCAATGCGATCAGCTACAACCGACGAGGTGGCAGGCGCTGGCGGCGACGTTACGACGGACGAGCCCCACGACCTCAGTGCGAGAAGTGGGAGGCGAAGACAGAGCCCGACGTGATCAGCTACAGTGCTGAGACCGACGGACGGTGCAAGCAGCGGGAGGCGAAGTCCGAACCCAACGACGTCAGCTACAGCGCTGGCGACGGCAAAGGACGAGCGACCAAGACGACGGACGAGCCCGACGTCATCAGCTGCATTGCGACGGCGAAGACGAGGTACGGACACGACGGCGACGGGACAGCGAAGGACGAGCCCGACGACGCCGGCAACAACGTGGCGACGACGGACGGCGAAGGACGAGCCCAATGCCGTCAGCTACAGCACTGGCATCAGGGCATACCCAGCGGCGGCCTCGCGACGTGCGAGAAAGGCGAGCAGTTGCAGCAGGCTCTGACGCAGCTCGAAGAGAAAGGAATGGCGCCGCGAAAGCCCGACGTCGTCACCCACAAGCTTGGGATTCGGGCTTGGGACAAGGCCGAGACCCCATGCGAGAAGCGGTGGGCAAAATTGGAACCCAAACCAGTCACTACTTGCGCTGGAAACAGCGGGGGCGAGCAGTGGGAGGCAAAGCTGGAGCCCAAATCACACAGCGCGTGCGAAAGGGCGGGCAGTGGCAGCAGACCCTGGCGCTACTCAACGAGGAGTGAAAGGCGAAGCACAAGCCCGACGCCCTCAGAATCAACGCAGGTCTCAAGGAATGCAAAGAAGCCGCGGGGTGGGCGAAGCTGGAGCCCGAGATCACCAGCCAGCCGCCAATACACTGCGAGAAGTGGGAGGCGAAACTGGAGCCCGAGTTAGAACTATTAGCGACACTGCTAAAATCAACTCGTGCGAGAAAGGAGAAAGCAATGGCAGCGAGGACTGCCAGTGTTCGAACAGTATGCGAGAAGTGTGAGGCGAAGCTGGAGCCTGCTTCCCAATGTTGTTCACCAGATATCCGCCGTTACACTGCGAGGAATGGAAGGCGAAGCTGGCGCCCGAGCTAGATTAGCTACAACGCCGGAATCAACTCGTGTGAGAAAGGGGAAGACAGGCAGTGGCAGCAAGGACTGCCAGGCGTATCAGCACTGGGGGCACGAGCGTACAGACTCAGCTACAGCGCCGAGATCAGCTCGCGAGAAAAGCGCAGCCGTGCCCCGCAGAGCCTGCGCGAGGGGGTTCCTTTCATCAGCTACTGTGCTGGAATCCAGCGCGTGCGAGAAGGGACCTAGCCCCTATCGGGGCTTCGTGGAGTTTTCGCTCGGCTCTGGGACGGCCCGATGCGGCTTGAGCTCCCACGGCGCGAAACCGCAGGGCATCGCGACCTGTTCAGGCCCGCAACACTCCTCCTCCTCCTCCTCCTCCTCCTCCTCCTCCTCCTCCTCCTCCTTCTACCCCCCCTCCTCCTAGCTGCCATATCGGCTGAGAAGACACAGCAGGCAGCTTCAGCACCCCCCGCTCCCACAGATCCTCTTTGGGAACGAAGATGGCGCTCCTTGGGCCGAAGGCGGCCTAGGGGCAACAAGGAGCACAGGAACGGGGGAGGCGCCACGGAGACGCCCAGATGGTGCTCAAGATCATCCTCTACAACGCGCAGAGCGCAGACTACACTCGTGACGAGCACGCAGCGGCACACAGATGTTGATCATGACGTGCAGCAGGCATCGTTACCACATCACAAGGTCATGCAGTTTGGCTGGAAGTTGCCAAAGTTCGTTACCAAGTGCTGAGGGAAAGCAGTCTTGCTCGGCCAGTATGTACACGGAATGCAGCAAGCAATAGCACCACCCAGATCACAGGATATCACAGGACGGGATGCCAAAGCAAAACTGCATGCGTATGCGAACGGGCAGTCGATCTGCATCTTCCCAGTGTACTTCTCCCCAAAAGGCACAAGTCCTACAATACTGAAGGAGGCCAGCACGCGCATTTTGCGCTGGATAACCAAGCAGATCGAGAGGGAGGGGCACAGCACGTTACCTATCATCGCAGGAGATTTCAATTGCGGGTTCGGCATCAGACGGGACGTGAGGGGAGCGGGCTTTGCGCGAGGAGACGAGCATGTCAGCGTAATCGAGACCACGCACGAGACGACGGTATCGGCACAACTGAGGACGTTTGCAGAGGAGCAGCACATGAACGTAGCATCTACGTTTTGGCGCATAGGACCGACATGTTTTCAGAGGGGAGCCTCATCTAAGATAGATCATTGTATGTGCCCCACGACAATGATGGGGAGCATTCAGAAGCTTGGGAGGCGATTACCGTTACAGCTGAGTGCCACGCTGGAAGACCATGTCGCTGTGCACGTGGAGCTCAACGTGGCTACGACGATCTACAAGGTCACGAACCCTTCACCGCCGGCCAGCCGAGACATGATGATGGCATCACAGACGGCAGGCACGTGGAGAGAGGAGTACTTCCAAGCAGTGCAACGTAAGCTCGGAGAAGACGACGAGGCATATCAAGCAGCGATGCAGACTAACAATGTTCAAGCGGTTTGGGATCATATTGGAGGTGCAATACGAGGAGGCATGCAGGAGATCTTCCTGCCTGAGCCACTACGGACGCAAGCATACATGGAGCAAAGGCAGAGACGGATGGAGTTGTTACGACGGCGCGGCAAAGTACACGAGGAAGGCTTCGAGGCGCAGAGCGTCGAGTACGAGGAGATCAACCGGCAGCTCACCTCGATCACCAGACGGTTACAAACGCTACGACGACAACAAACAGCAGAGAATCGAAATCGGCTACTCGTGGAGCTCATCAGAGTATGAAGCAAAAAAAGTGAGCGCAGATGCACAAGATTAAGAACAGTTTTTCATCCACTGGCCGTGGACCAAAGAAAAGATATATCTTTGCAGCTCGGCAGGGTATGAGTATCAATGAATGGGTCAGCGGACTACAGCTTCAACCACACGCTGGAGGCATTAGCGCGGACGTGACGAACTGTGAAAGGGCATTAGGGGACGTGGAGTTTTTACCTAAGGTGATGGAACGGCATCGAACGATCGAATTGGCACGTGCAGATTTGGACGGACAGATCACCTACTTAAAGAGGCGCCGAAGAGGCGTGCGACACCGAAATGGGGAGTATATGCGGAGGCGCTACTGTAACTTCTGTCACCACAGTATCACGTGAGGGAGGACCCCAACGGTGACGGCTGGGTCAAAGACATCGCGCCGCTGGAGTTCTTGCATAAGTATGAGCAGTTCGTTACACTGATCAGGGAAACAGACAAAGTACCACCAAGTTGTTTGCGATCGCAAATTTTCGCACAGGCCAAAGATAACGGGGAGCCAGGGATCAAAGGCAAGCGGCTTCTGCATTGCGTCGATTCATGTGGCATGAGTTGGTTTGGATAGCTGGCAAAGAGACTCAAGCCGCAACCAAGGTTTGCATCATTTACGCACGGAGGGATTGCAGCACGGCGACGAGAGGGCACCCTGCTGGTGCT